ATGTAGCCAATCCTCCAAGAGCTTACAGTAGCTCCTGTAAGAAGAGCTCTGTAAGCTCTTGGAGGATTGGCTACATTAGGGGTGTGTGGCCTAATATGCAAAGGAGTTCCTGCTACAAAAAGAGCCCTTAAGAAATATTCTCTAGATAAAAAGACCTAGTTAATGTTACCATTCTTGGGAAAGCCAAATGAGAGAGCAGTGACTGAACAGCTTCAGGTTTTTCTGGATAAAACCTCTGCATTTGACTCTTTCCAAAATGGCTTCAGGACCGAGACTGCGCTTGTGTCTCTGGTCAATGACCTCTGCAGACAATTAGATCGAGGTGTAACAGCACTGCTGATCTTATTAGATCTGTCAGCAGCATTTGATACAGTTGACCATTTGGTCCTGGTCAACCACCTGGGCTCACTGGGGGTATGTGGTACTGCCTTGAATGGGGTTTTCTTTGTTCCTCCAGGGACGCTCTCAGAGGATGGCTGTCAGGGACCTGTCCTTGCGTGCACTAGATTGCTGTGTCCCACAGAGTTCGGTCCTGTCCCTGATGTTTCATACACACACACAAACACACACACACCCCTCTAGCAGAACTCATCAGAAGATATGACGTCGGGTGCCATCAGTATGCTGATGACACCCCAATTCTTTCTCCTACTGAATAAGCAGTGAGATGTGGCCCACTCAGCCTTCAGTCAGTGTCTGGATGCAGTGGTCGCTTGTTTGAGGGAGAGTTGGCTGAAGTTGAATCCATCAAAGACGGAGGTAATGTGGCTGAGAAAGGCCGGGTCTTTGGCAGGACTGCAAATACCAGCTTTTGATCGAATCCCATTAAATCCAGTAGACTCAGTAAAGAGCCTAGGGGTGTGGCTTGATGCCTCGCTTCTGTTGGACGAACAAGTGTCCACAGTGTCGAGGTCAGTGGTTTGCTTTCTGGCTGCCTATTTGGCCCGGCCTAATCTTGACACAGTGATCCATGCCATGGTCACTTACAGACTAGACTACTGCAATGCCCTCAGTGCCCTTGGAGATACTTCAGAAACTTCAGGTGATCCAGAGTGCAGCTGCCGGGCTGCTGACTGGCTCATCTTTGTCTACCCATATTTAGCCAATCTTGAGGCACCTGTACTGGTTGCCAGTTTGTTTCCAGATTAGGTTCAAGGTGCTGGTTATAACCTTTAAAGTCCTAAAAGGACCGCCTCTCCCAATATAACCCCCCCCCCTCCATGTTGCTTGTGCAAGTTTTTGAAAGTGGGTGTTCCTCAGGAAGTCTGTCTTGCTTCCATCAGAGTTACAGCTTTTTCCATCATAGCCTCATCCTAGTTAAATGTTGTTGTTTTTTTTCCAGAGGAGACATGTGCCCTGAGGAACCTGTCAAGAGTTCCATGGGGCATGCAGGCCTTTAGTTAATCCTTTTATTTTCAGCACTAATTGGTTTGTCAGATGTTTTCTCTTTGGAATATACCTAGGGACTGGGAAAATGTCAAGATTTTAACTGTTTTAGCTGTCTTAATGATGAACCTTAGGGTTCTATGTTTTTTTTTTTTAATGTTGTGAGCCACCCCGAGCCCCACGTTGCGGGAGCGGGGTGGGATATAAATATCATTTAAATAAAATTATTAAAATGGTTGATAAGCAGAGATCACAGAGCTGTCGATTTCTTTGAGAAACATTAACCCTTTTGGATGGGATCTTGTCCTGATTTTTAACAGTATGTGGTTGTCTGGATTCCCCCCTCCCCCGCTTTCTCCCTGCCCCCCCCCCCCCCCTTATAAAGCAAACATGAATGGTGGTGCCATCTAGCGGTGGGTACGAATCTTTCATGTGAGAAATCAACATCCTAACGGTCCGATTTTGCTGCTGTGGTTTAACACACAAAAAACTTTCTACCTTCAGAAACCTTTCCCACATTTATGCATCTGCCACAAAACTCCAGGCTGCTGCAGAGATTTCTGGGGCATGTCCTAGGCCCAGACTCATGTGGGATACTGGACAAGCAGGGGGGCCTCACTGCTGCTCCACACGAACTGAGGGAGGTACCCCAGCCACCAGGTAGGACCTGGAGATCCCCCAGAATTACAGCTCATCTCCAGTCTACGGAGATCAGGTCCCCTGGAGAAGATGGGTGCTTTAGAAGGAGGGTGGACTCTGTGGCATTGTAACCCACCGAGATCCCTGTCCTCCCCAGGCTCAAGGAGTTTGCCAACCCCCCAGCCCCACTGCTGGACCTCCTGATGGCACCTGGTATTCTTGCCCACTTTGTGACAAGAGTGTTGGACTGGATGGGCCATTGGCCTGATCCAACATTGGCTTCTCTTTATGTTCTTATGTTCTAACCTGGATCTGGCTGCCCAACCCCCCAGTGGAATCTGCATCTCACTCCCTTTCTGCAGACAGTCCACTGGTTACTGAACAATTATGGGATTTAATGAATGGTTCTAGTTACCACCACAAAGCCCTTAAAAGCATTGGAATCAAATACCTGCAGGACCACTTCTCTTCTTGTGTTCTGTTGTGAGTTGTGACATCTCCACTCATCTCGGCAAAGCCCCCTCAAAGTCCCAAACTGCAAACAGGTAAAACTGGCAACTGCCCATTCATACACATTCTCTGCGGTAGCTTCTATATCATGGAATAGTCTACCTGAGGCTCTTAGGAAGGCCCCCACATTTTGCAAAATGTGGGAAACAGAATTGGTCAGGAGGGCATTCTCGTAAAGGGAGCAAAGCGGCAGCATAATGGATCAGGTCTGGAATTGACTCATATTAGGGATAAAGTTTTCCCAACACTGATGGTCTTGTTGTCTTAAATAGATACATTTGCTTGCACTGTTCTTGTTCTTCTCATTATAAAGTCCCAGCCCAAATGCAATATTTTGTTTTACTGCAAAACTCTGCTGTTAGATTCAAATGTTATCATATCTTGTAATCAGGGCTCTTTTTGTAGAAAAAGCCCAGCAGGAACTAATTAGCATAATAGGCCACACCCAACAGCAGGAACTCATTAGCATGTTGGGCCACACCCCTGACAGCACAGCTTATTAGCACATTAGGCCACACCCCTATGTTACCAGAAGTGTGGTTATCCAGCCACACCCACCTTTTGCTTGTTATTCTGTTTGCTTGTTATTTACCTTGTTTGTTGTCCAAACCCAGGGCTTTTTTTGTAGCAGGAACTCCTTTGCATGTTAGGCCACACACCCCTAATGTAGCCAATCCTAATGAGTTCCTGCTGTTGGGTGTGGCCTATTATGCTAATGAGTTCCTGCTGGACGTGGCCAACTTGGGAGCCAGCCGGAACTCCGTTCCTGTGCGTTCCTGCCCAAAAATAGCCCTGCTTGTAATCCACTTACTCATTGACTGAAATTACTATATTTTGATGTCTTTGCTACCTGACTGAAAAGTTATACTTTGAAATATGCCTTGAGTTCCAGTGAGAAAGGCGGACTACAAATGAAAATAATAACTCAATAGATTTGCAAAGTTTTACTTGTTGAGCACACTCTATGAAGATATGCTGTGAAATCCGGACCCAAGATAGATGAACATTTTTCTTCAGACAAGAGGGTGCTTCTTTCGCTTCTCTTAACTTCAAAATATGGCATCTACTTCTACAGTCTAAGACCTCATATTTTACCTCCAATTAACTCAGTTGTGTTTTATTATCAAGATGAGACCTGCCCAGACCAAAATGAGCTGCTACCTAAGCTATAAACTTTGAAGAATGGCCAGTGGCCATGGCACATGAAGGGTGCTATTTAAAGGGTAAGAGTTCTTAGCAGGAACAGAAGCAGCGGGCCTGTGGATGAGGCTCTATCCTTTTTCCTTTTCCACCTTTCCTTTTCTTGTTTTTCCCTAAGTTTCTTCTTCGTTTGTTATTATTTCAATGTCTACACAGCACTAGAAAAAATCTAAATTAGATGGAACAACAACAACTATGTCAATACTACAGAGAGCTGTAAGCATTTGTTGCAATATTTATTAAATTTCTATCCTGCCCTCCCCCTCAAGTGGGCTCCGGGTGGGTCACAACAGGCAGTACAACCGTTAAGAATAATTTCCAAGCCTATGAAACCTGATTAATACAATACATGATGGCGAGAACAGTTTTAACAAAGCTTCCAGGTGCGCTCTGTATGCGCGCCCAAAAGGACCAGCAGATTGGGCAAGTGGGCAAACTAATTCTTCAACAAAATATAATACTTTTCATTATATTATATTAATAATACATTAACAAAAACTGATTTATTGAAAAATGAACTGGATGGGAGATTAAATCATTAGGAAACAGCTAGGAATGTTATAAAATTTCAGCTTTAAAATGATGAAACTACCAAATTCAAAGCAGTGAAAATGCTGATCTTTCCAAATATGTTTTTTCTTCCCTAAACTGCCAATATTTGTACCCACTATAACTCTTGGATTGCTACAGAATCATACATAACTTTATAGGAAGAGGGGAAAGACCAGATAAGTTAAAACAGTTCATCAATTCATTAATATTACATACAAGACTTACCTCAACCTATCCTCAGTTCTAGTTTCCATGACAGGTTGGCCAAAATTCTAGCAGCTGTTTTTTGCATTTGGCCTTGCTGTTGGCATAATCCCAATGAGAGGAAATTATAAAAAATTGGATACAAACATAAATACTTAGCATAATGTGGCTGTGATCATATAAAAGGGGGATTTATGAAAACAGCAAAAAACACCATCCCTAGTTATATTTTGAGTCTAAACAGGAATCTATTTAAACACTTTACCTGTCAATATCGGTTTTCTTCTGTTTCAAATTTCTATCAATCTCTTATGCATTTCTCCAGGAAAGCACTCAGGCACAAGCCTTTTTTACAATGACAGTAATACAGCTTTTCCAATGTAAGAATGTCAGATAGGATAGTAGATATGAAAACTCTGATTGGGATTAGCTTCATTCACAGGGTTTCTCCACAATGTGAATCCTTTGGTGGGAAGTGAGGCCAAATCTCCGATTGAAGCTCTTCCCACACTGCAAACATGTATATGGTTTCTCCCCGCTGTGGATCCTTTGGTGAGAAGTAAGGTCTGTATTCCTTCTGAAGCTCTTTCCACACTCTGAGCATTTATATGGTTTCTCTCCAGTGTGAATCCTTTGGTGAGAAGTAAGGTCTGTATTTGTTCGGAAGCTCTTTCCACACTCCAAGCATTCATATGGTTTCTCCCCAGTGTGAATCCTTTTGTGGTAAGTAAGGTTTGTTCTCTGAGTAAAGCTTTTCCCACACTCTAAGCATATATAGGGTTTCTTCCCTGTGTGAATACTTTGATGATAAGTAAGGTGTGTACTCCACTTGAAACTGTTTCCACATTCCAAGCATTTGTATGGTTTCTCCCCTGTATGAATCATTTGATGAGAAATAAGGTTTGCACTCTTATTAAAGCTCTTTCCACACTCTAAGCATTTATATGGTTTCTCACCTGTGTGAATACTTTGATGAGAATGGAGATTTGAACTTCTATTGAAGCTCTTTCCACACTCTAAGCATTTATATGGCCTCTCCCCAGTGTGAATGGTTTCATGGGAAGTAAGGTGTGCTCTTTGACTGAAGCTCTTCCCACATTGCAAGCATGTATATGGTTTCTCCCCTGTATGAATCATTTGATGAGAAGTAAGGTTTGCACTGCAACTGAAACTCTTTCCACATTCCAAGCATTTGTATTTCTCCCCTATGTGAACTGTAGTTTGATGTGACATAAAGTGTGCACTGTGTCTGAAGCTTTTCCCACATTCCAAGCATGTATATGGTTTCTCCCCTGTATGAATCATTTGATGAGAAGTAAGGTTTGCACTGCAACTGAAACTCTTTCCACATGCCAAGCATTTGTATGATTTCTCTTCTATGTGAAACTTTTGATGTGATGTAAGATGTGCACTGTGTCTGAAGCTCTTCCCACAATGCAAGCATTTATATGGTTTCCCCACTGTGTGAATCCTTTGATGGGAAGTAAGGTTTGCACTAGAACTGAAACTCTTTCCACATTCCAAGCATTCGTAAGATTTTTCACCTGTGTGAACTCTTTGATGTGAAGTAAGGTGTGTACTCTGTCTGAAGCTCTTCCCACATTCCAAGCATTTATATGGTTTTTCCCCCGTGTGAATCCTTTGGTGTGAAGCAAGGTTTGCACCCCAACTGAAACTCTTCCCACATTCCAAGCATTTATATGGTTTCTCCCCAGTGTGAATTCTCTGATGTGAAATAAGGTTTGCACTCTCACTGAAGCTCTTTCCACACTGCAAGCATTTATATGGTTTTTCCCCTGTGTGAATCCTTTGGTGAGAAGTAAGGCTATTAATGTGACTATAGCTCTTCCCGCACTCTAGACATTCATATGGTTTCTCCCCTGTGTGAATCCTTTGGTGGGAAATCAGGTTTGCAATCCGACTGAAGGTCTTTCCACACTCCAGGCATTTGTATGGTTTCTCTCCTGTTTGAGTTCTCTGTTGTCTCTTAAGGCTAGATTTGTAGATAGCCCTTTTCTCACCCAGAGTGTGACAATTCCCTTGTTCCTTTTTCTCTGTTTTCTCTTCAACTGCAATTTCATGTAGATCCCTGCCCAGAAAGGCAAATGATTCCTTAGTTAGCTTCTGGTTTGCTTCTTTCCTCTTTCTCTCCTTCGTTGAGATCTCTAGATTTCCCATTTTTTTTTCTACCTCCAGATCCATGTCTCCGTTCACATCCATGTCCACCACCAGACTTGATTCCCCTTGTTCTCCTCCTGGAATAAAGTGAGAAGCCTAGTAAGAGAGCTGTAAACTATAAATCACATAAAAACAAAAGAGGTATTAAAGAATTATTCTTCCTCCAATAGGTCTGGAGAAAGCTCTCCAACCTCTAAATTTTAGCCAAAAGATTTTTTTAAGGGGAAAGGAAAGGGAGCAGAGCTGGCAGGGGTCGGGGGATTACTTCCTGTAGTCGCTTTCCAGGTCTCAGAACCCAGCTAGCTAAACCTTTTATCCAGTGACAAGAAAATAACTTATATTAGGGTTTCATTTATTTTACGAGACAGAAATCCTTTCTGTATAGGAAAACACTGCAAAGCAGAAGCTGCCCCTCCCCCGAAGGTCTTAAGTCCTCCTTTTCCTGTCCTGACTCTATGGGGTCCACACAGGAGTTGAATGTGAGTCTGAGGTCATGAGAGGTTGAAAGCCACTGCTCTAGAAAACAGGCAGGGCTGTCTGCAGCTTTCCAAATGTCAAATCTTTAATATTACAATGGGACTGCCTCAAGGCCATAATCCAACATTCAGGAAAAGAAGTCCCCGTCCCCCCCCACAAGAACTACCCCCCAGCAAACAGTGTTGGAAAGATTTACTTGGGAGAACGATCACATCAATCATCAGGATTTAAAGGCCTATCAGTGTAAGCGCTCTGAATCAGAGGGAATGAAAAGTATAAAGTGACATTTCTCCAGGGCTCTATAACAAAATGCATTACGGATACAGGAACTAACTCTGAACCAGTGGCCTCTGATCTTAAGAAAAGAAAGTTTAATTTTCCTGGTGAACCATGTGAGAAAGATTTATATGGGAGAATAGTCACATGAATTAATTATTAATATTTAAGCACAGACTCTCTCGAGATCCTTCCAGGGAACACACTAGCATTTCTTCTGATACAAAACCATCCTGGTTATAATTACCCACCCTCACCTTTCTCACGTTTTTTTTCTTTTGGAGACAGAAAAATGAAGTCTCATCCATAAAGAAAGAACATCTAAGGAATGAGAAAACATTTCTGTGTTGGCTTAAATAAGATGCAGCCTACAATCCCAGCCAACACTATGGCTGTGATCACACTGGCGGCTTGGTGCGATATGGTGCCGCCTCTGAACCGGGTTAAAGTGTAGTGGGATATATCAGCCACACAGCACACCCTGCTGTGGGTTACCCACGGAGCAAACGGCAAAAAAAAATCCCCAAACCATGTGTTTGCGTAGTGCGCATGCATACGCATGCACGCATAGGCAATTCTTTTTAAAAACTGCCTCCATAGCGGCAGAACAGATCTGCAGGTTCACACTGCCAAATCCGTTCTGTGTGCCCTCCCCCGTGTTCAGACATCCGGCCATGCGCAATGAATGTGCGGTGAAACATTTTTAACCCGGCTCCAAGTCGTCCTCTGACGGGGTGTGTATGCTTGGGGAACGCCTGACAGATGTGGCTGTGTGATCGTGCCCATTTAATCCGTTTGTAAAATGTCCCTATATCGGGCCAAACTGCTAGTCTGAACACAACCTATATGGAATATGGATTTGTGTCAGTTTTTACGTTCAGACATGGCAATAACATGAAGTTCCAGAGGCAGATTGATCAATATAATGTGTGTGGAATGACGGCAGAATGATAGTTCTCACACTTAAGGATCCATCCACACACCCAAGGAAGTACCTGTCGAGCTCTCCATTTCCTTGGTGTCCTGGACAAACATCTCATCCACTTCCTCCAGCCAGGAGATGAGGCCAGGTTTGCAGGTCCAAGATCCTTCTTGGAGGAAAAGCAACACAAACTGACCAGACACGTCTGTGAAACTGTTAACATTGCAAACTGCCTGGCTTTACAATAATGCATTCTTGAGGGTGTGGTAAGATGACCCTGTGGGCCCATGCTTTTTACCACAGGGAATGAGGGATTTCTCAGTTGGCCCCAATCTCAATTTATTAGTCTACAATGTAAAGCTGACCTTTCCATTCGTATCATAGTTACTCCCTTTCATGAACAGAGTTTACTCTCCACTGCTACCAACAGTTGCGGTAGATAACCAGCGGTTACAGCAACAGAACTGCATTCTGATAGTCTGATAGCCTACAGTCACACTTTCCATAAAAACAATTTTTTAAAGAATAAAAGTGATCAATACAGCAAGCAAATGAACAATTTAAAAAAAACCTATAAGCACCTGAAGGTAATAAAAAATAAAGAGGTATAAACGCATTTCTGTTTCCCTAGGTCTAAAAGTCATCTCTGTGATGTTGAAAATATAGGCAGAAATATGATTCCAGATTTGTTTTCTTGGCTCTGAGCCTCTTTGGTTTATGTTCTCCATCTGGCTAGCTATGTGTCTTCAGACCAGGTATCTGTGTGTACCTGCTTCAGAGTCCTCACAACATTTCAAGTACAGAGGTCTCCAACAGCACAAGGATCATCACTGCATAGCTGAAGGCAAGCTGTGCGTATGCAAGAAAATATTTTAAAACAATATGTTCATTTTTAAAGGCTTCATGTTAAGCACAGCTTCTGCCTGAAATGTTGAAGATTTACTCCTAGAGCTCTATGACATTTTGTGGTTGGCTCGACCTCTTTTGGCAGCCATTCTGTGGTTGTGCCCATCACCACGTGTCAGAGTTCCAAATGTGCCCACAGGCTCAAATGTCTCCTTGTTTCTCAAGTGTTCCTGCCACAGTTTAGGAAATGGCTACTCCTTTCCAGAAGAATGCCTGCTTCAGTCTGGAGTGTTCAGTCTGGAGAAAAGGAGGTTGAGTGGAGACAGGATTGCTCTCTGTCACTTAGAGGAGGGCAGAGAGCTGTTTCTGTTGGCAGCAGGGGATAGGACTCACAATGATGGGTTTAAATTAAGAGCGGGAAGCTGCCGGCTGGATATTAGGGAAAACTTTTTTACAGTAGGAGTTGTCCAACAGTGGAATTAGCTTCTTAGGGAGGTGGTGAGCTCCCCCTCACTGGCAGTCTAACTTTAAGCAGGGGCTGGACAAACACTTGTCAGGGATGCTCTAGTCTGATCTTGCGTTGAGCAAGGGGTTGGACTAGATAGCCTGTATGGCCCCTTCCAACTCTGTGATTCTACGATTCTCCTCCTCCCCATAAACCCCTCTTCACGTAAATTTACCAAAGAGATGAATCTGGGTCAATGTTCCCTCTAAGCTGTGGAGTCTTGTGAGCAAAAATTCTACTTTCTGAGCTCCAGGCATTAAAGTTGTGAGCAGGTGATTTGGCTGCTGCATAAATTAGTTTGCTCTGGAGCCATCCCTTCCTGGGCTGGACAAACACTTGTCAGGGATGCTCTAGGCTGATCTTGCGTTAAGCAAGATCTTGCGTTAAGACTAGATAGCCTGTATGGCCCCTTCCAACTCTGTGATTCTACGATTCTCCTCCTCCCCATAAACCCCTCTTCATGTAAATTTACCAAAGAGATGAATCTGGGTGCCTTCACGGATGGAAGGCTGGCTGTTTTATTTTGACCTGACTACCTATAAGGGCAGTCTGAACTTAACCCTAGGGCATTCACAAAGTATAAGCCCAACATTCACAAAGTTAAGTAGAAAATTCTTACATATATACCTCAGGAAAACTGTCTTTACATCATACAGGGAACTCAAGAAATTGAAATTTGGAGAAAGAATGATCACAATCAGATATGGATATCTACCAGGGAAATCTCAAGACGCTGACAAAATAACCACGGATCATCCACACGTCAGCCAATTATTTGCTTACCCATAGAGGCCACGTTCCCAAAATTCTCCAGCATGACTTCCTTGTAAAGACCTCTTTGCCTGGGATCCAGCAGAGCCCACTCTTCCGCAGTGAAATACACAGCCACCTCCTTGAAGGACACAGGGCCCTGGAAGAAGAAGGAAGCAGTCACTATCAGCAGGAAAGTCCATATCAAGGGACCCCGAACCAGGATCACTTGGAAGGGGGAAGGACATGCGAGACAAATCCGAAAAGGCTGAAGTGTGAGTTCTCAGAACCCAGGGTAGTACTACCACCACCCTCTTTCCAGACAACCAGAGACCAAGGGACAAAGTCTCCAGCCCTCCTGGGACTAAAACAAAAAGCCACCCTTGCAAGGTAGGACACTTACAAGGTGAGTTTCACAGAACAATTAATTTGGTAGCTGTAGCCAATGAGGGCTAAAGTACTGCATTCAGATCGAAGCCTCTTGAATTCAAGAACGCCACAAAAAGATAAGTGTTTCATTTTTAAATTGTGCAGGTCAATAAAAGAACAGAGAACAGTGAGAATAAAAATAACAAAGCTCTAAGTCTCATGAAGCACATTTACAAGAAGAAGAAGCAGCAGCATCGACGTTGGTTTTTACACCCCGCTTTTACACCTTCCCCTTCCACTCCTCACAACAGACACCCTGTGAGGTAGGTGAGGGTGAGAGGGTTCTGAGAGAACTGTGACTGGCCCAAGGCCATTCAGCAGGCTTCAGATCCAAATGTTACCAAAAAGACTGAGTCCAATAGGATTCCAAACTCCAAGACAAGGTTTCCGGTCAGTAAGACCTACAAAAAACACAGTTGCACTTACCTGTAATGGAACCAGGGCTATTTTTGGGCAGGAACACACAGGAACGGAGTTCCGGCTGGCTCCTGAGTTGGCCACACCCAGCAGGAACTCATTAGCATAATAGGCCACACCTAACAGCAGACACTTATTAGGATTGGCTACATTAGGGGTGTGTG